CTGCTGTCTCCTTTGCCTAAGTGTGACTTGGCTGAGAGGACTAATGTGCTGGATTTGAATGGAAATTGTCTAAGTGTGTGGCTACAGCTCCCCCCGCTAGCTCCCCTTTCTAAAAAAAAACAGAGTCTGAAATGTAATCAGATTTACTTTAATGAGGGGGGACCAAGAAAAAGCATCCCATGAAAAGAACTTTGTGGGGAATCCAAGTCCCACACCATAAACAAAATCAAGTCACTCTATATTAGCATAGGGAAAGCTTCAACACAGCAGAAACCCTGTTTATACTGTCTCCTTATCACAGCTTTCTAGCCAGCCCACTAAACTGCTTTGTACCCACTCCTTCACCACACCCCCATGTAGATGTATGTGAATGTGACTTTACCTGGTAAGAGAGTTGGATGTGGAAAGACAGCTCCAGTTAAAAAATGAACCAGATTCTGAGTGCTAGGAATTCACTTTGAGTATGGTTTTGGGTCCTTTGCCGAAATATGAGTAATTTTAAAACTGCTAAGCTAGGAATTGTGGGGGTTTTATTGTTTTATATTGTTTTGACTATTTGGTTTTGTGCATCTTCAAGGCATTTAGATATGAAGTGTAATGCCCACCATTGCAGTATTATTAACATTTTAAGTGTTTGAAGACTGCAAGTGACTGTGTAATGCTGAGTAATTGCTCTGGGTTCAGCAATACATGTGTGTGCATGTGTGTATTGTTGATAAGTTTGAAATTGGTTTATACCTCTACCATGCTTATTCAAACCTAGCTTCTTTTTAAGGTCCCAGTGAGATTTCCAAGCAATCAAGTTTGAAGACTTGCAGTGCAGTCATGTAAATAAAACTTGAGAACAGTCTGACAAAGCAGTCTTGAGAACTATTCGTCTAGTTAATGGGCATAGGAAAATTTCTTCAGGAAATGCCCCAGCAGCTGCACACGTAAGAAAAAGAGAATTAAAAAAAAATATATTCTCAGCATTTTTCTTTTTTCTCAGTTCTCCTAATTTTGGGATAGCCATACATGTTTTTCCTCCTTTTGGGAAGCAGTGTACTTCCCCCTCCTCATGTAAGTTTTGATTTTGCCACCCTAAAATTTCTGTGAAGTTTCAGGCCAGCAAGTGGATGTTCCAGAACTTGTATGGTTGTGGCAGCAGGGGATTGATCATAAACTCTTTTCCAAACATAACTACTAGGTTAACTGTTGACCGGATATTACCCAGAGAGTATATTTTATTGACTGTGAATTCATTAATAGTTAACTGGTGTGCAGACATTGAAACAATGAGCTGATTCTTCATATTGAATCCTATCTCAGACAAATACAATAAGATGCCATGGTCTGTTGCTTTCTCAGCTCAACATTGTTTCGTGTTGATGTCAGGGGAAAGTCTTACTCAGTTAACAGCATTCCTAGAGCACTCTGTAGGACTGAAGGAGCTACAGAAAACTTGGAGTCTTCATTGAGAAACAAAAGCTAAACATGCAAAAGAGCAGAACACAAAAAAAAATTAAAAACATAAAGAAAGGAAAATCATGGAGCACCAGAGTTAAAATGTCAGTGGTGTTCCCAAGTCAGCAACATGTACCTTGAAGAAAGGAAAGATGTCTTCAGACAAAGCACAAAGCAAGGGTTTCCTGCTATGAAAGGTTACCTCTTCCAGAAAGGTTCCTTGGATGCCTTTTAAAAGGCTATCTTTTTATATGTTTGGTTACTTGTTTATATGACTAGTTTTTGCTCCTGCAGCCTGGACCTTTTAATTTCTCAGCTTTCTTCCCTGAAAGTGTGGAAAGTTATTTGTAAACTTTATTGCTTTTCAAGATACAGAAAGCATGAATTCATGCGTCTGCAGAGATTTGAAAAATGCCAAGTGCTGGATATGAGTGCTGCTCATGAAGGAGTCTAGTTTCTGAATGCTATGTACCCAGAAACACATGAAAATGTATTTATGCTAAAAAAAAAATAATAATTATTCTGTTGAATGCCAGGAGGACAAACAGTCTATATCTGTTGAAGGCCAGGATCATTGCCGTAAGATTAACTAGAAAGGAAAAACATATGGCAGTCATCCAGGAAACACGGCTATCAGAAGGTAAACAGGCATAATCAACCAGGGACTCAAAAATGTTGCACTACCAACAAAACAAAAGATATGACCCTCTCTGAAGGCCCTGTTTCCTAGAAGCATTTTTCTAAATAGAAAACAGATAGAAATATTCATGGCTAAGGAACAGCTTTAAGGCCACAGCTGAAGCCAAGAAATAGGGTCAGATCTGGCTGAAGTTTGAGAGTGGTGCTACACTGAGCATGGTGTTTTTCAAAGACCAGAAAGTGCGTTTCTGATCATGCCAACTCCTAACCAGAGAAAGACTGACTCTCCCTGTCCTTTAGTGCAAGAGGTAATTGTTTTTTTTCTGTCAAGGTATATATGATAGTGAAGACAGTAGGATTTTTCCACCCCTGTTTTCTGAGATTAACTTTGCTGTGTTGGTATGCCACTGGCAGCTGGACTACCTGGGCACAAATGTTATCTGAGTTTTTGACAGATGTTGTCCAAGTGTTCAGCAAATTTCTTTATGCATGCAGGTACCTGTTAGCACCCCCAATGACTACAACTGAAAATACTTGACTTACTTTTCTTGCACAATATATACTTATTTCCTACCCACATTGAGCCTGCTATCTGCGAACAGAGAAGACATATTTCCAATTTGTGGACTCCTACTGTTTCACCTCCTTGGTTACAGCCAGCAAGTTGCACCTAACCATGCATATTTTTTAGGTAGCCTTGAAAATGTAACAGGAGTATGATGTCAATGAGAAAACATCTTTTGCCTGTAAAAATTTAATCCTCTCTCCTTGTTTTAATATAGTTGCTCCTTCTATAAAAGATCAAGTGGCTTTCTTTTTTTTTTTCATAAGAAGCCCTCCTTAACAGTAAAATACAACACTCTAAAAAAAAAATAATAATTGGTGATTCTAAAAGAATGACTGTGCCCAGAGCCACTCTGAAAAAATGCCTAAGGACTTGCATTGTCATTCTTCACTGAAGCGTAAAAACCTGTAGGCGTTATTAAACTTCTCTTACGATGGCTCTTAAGACTGTAAACTGAAAAAAAATCAAACCAGAAAAACAAAAGGCGGGGTGGTGGTTAGGAATAAACTCATTCCTCATGTCTTTCTTTGGCTTAGAGGTAGAGGGGAAAAGGTAAAAGAAGAGTTTAGCATGTTGGATCAGTTATACAAGCAAGGTAGCTTAATGTCTCAAAATCACAAAGGTTAAAAAAGGCAAAGAACCCAGATGCTAGAGTGTTGCATGTGATCTCATGCCCATTTTACAGCTGTGTGTACTGGGTATCTGTTGACGGTAAAGACCTGGCACTTGATTTACAAGCACATTCGCAGAAAACTGACTTGCTGTATGTGAATAGATTCATTCAGTTTCACTACACACAATTAATAACCATGGGACATCTCAGTTTTAAGGACAAATCACTATGAGATTTGGTGTAATGTCTGCTGTGATCATTCATCTGTCCACTTTTCACTAAGAGTCTCGCAAATTTGCACTAACAAATGAAGGAAGGATTCGTGAAGAAACTGCAGCTGTATAAAGCTGCTTTACTCTTCCAGAAAAGTCTCTCTCTGGATAATTTGTGGAACAGTTAAACTCTCATTCTTCTTTAATCTTTCTTCTTTCCTGGAACACATGATAAGTAGACTGATGTATCGTAGACCTTCTTCAGCATACTGGGGTGGCTGTGTTGAACTGAGGTGCTGCAGTGTAATTCTGTGAATGTTCACATGCTGTGGGACCAGCTATTAGGTTGGGCACAATGCAGTATTGTACATGTAATTATAAAAAAATGCACCTGATGTTGGCCGCATTATTGAAAATAATAACCTGTATCCATCAGCACATGTGTTTGACCCACAGTTGATAAAAAGATATATTCATTAATCCACAGTGCTTTTCTGATTTTGTGGCTATGAGAGAAAAACAAGGTCTTTATCTACAGTTGTTACAAACTCATTGTTATGGTATCCAGACCTTGCTGTAGGACTTCAGGTGTATCAAACTATGCCTGTTACATCTTTTCCTTTAAATACCAGATGCTTTTGGCTCTTTGAGAATGTTGGGTTTGTTTTTAGTACTTAGTATGATATTTCCTAGCCAGATTGAGACCTATGTCCAAGACGGATAATGTTTTACTATGCCACCAAGTTTTAAGGTGGCGCAGGCCTGGAAACAGCTCCAGCTCTAAACCGTATCCTCCTGCCTACCAAGCTCCAGAGCTGTATTCCAATTTCTTTTTTTTTTTTGCAGACGACTCTGCCCCCAAACATCCTTTTGGCAGTGACACATCCTGATCCCGAAAGACCTTCCCAGGGAAGTTTCAGCAGGGAGGAAATGGGAGAATATAACCTCTCATAAACTCCCTATGACTCCAGAACAAGGCCCAAAGGCTATCATTACTGAGATACATACTACTAGTGTCATTTCCAAAAGAAGATCTCAATTTATTGTGTGTTGGGAGTTTCTAGGGTCAGCTCCATCCTGCTATGTGGTATAACAATGCGTCAGTTGCACAATAGGAGTAACCTCACAGTATTCATATGTCACTTCAACAAGAGAGCAGAAAAAATACTCTTGTAGTTATGGGTTGGGTTTAGTTTTTCTGACATTTAATTCTTACATGTCAGGCATCAGTGCTTTAATGGGTGAGATTTTTGGCCTGAAAATGAAATAATTAATAGAAACCAATTATGACTCTGTGTTTCCTATCTTTAACAAACTTGCCTGTTTCTTTCTTTTTTTTTTCTGTTTCATTGTCATGTCATGTCAGATCTGGTTATAACACATGGGCCTCATAGAAGACGGCATCACATGGCTAGGATCTGGACTACTGAGCTTCAGCTACGTTCTGGAGATTACAGACCTCAGTTTCACTGTCTTTGCCCTCCCCCTAACACAGTAAAAACCCCAAAGTGAAAGCCCAGAGGTAAATTTTTTAGCCATGGGTCTAAGTTCATGGACCCCAAGATGGAAGAAAATGTTCTTCTTTCACAGCCAAAGACCAATCGCGAAGCAGTTTATACTGTGGTAGAAAACCAAACGTCCAAATACAGCTATTTCCATATACGGCAAAAGGAACTCTCTTGCATCACAAATACCCCATAGCGTCTGACCTGTAAGGGCAGGCCAGGTACATGTCCACTCACTATCACAGGGAGCAAGACCACCCATCAGAGAATCAGGCACCTCTGCCATCCTGTCACAGAGATCTTGAAAGCAGAAATGGCGAGATACAGGCAATTTCGGAAGCAGCACAACAGGCAACACTCCCAGTGGAGTCAAAGACACAGAGTCAGAGGCAGGAAGCAAGGAAAGAGACAAGGGCTAAGAAGGAAAAAGGTGAAAGGTATGGTCTTTCAGACTAAGTCATGGAAAGGCTGTCATAGGATGAGACTTTCTGAACAACCTTGGTGAAACTACAGTGTTGCAGGGACTGTCTTGTGACCAGACACAGAAACCTTTTTCTGACTCAAGGATTAAGCATCTTTGAGGGAAGATGGGTTTAAGATCCTGACTATGGAGCCAACATGAAAGTTGGAATGGACACATTGGCTACAACTATAAGGGCATTCATGCCATTTGAGATGGTCGTAGGATTTCAGACTGTAATATATAAATACTTTATGATAACTACTAAGTGTGGGGCAGGGAATTTGGGGAAATAAGAAATAGTACAGTCCCTAGACACTAGTTACCAGTCAGCAGATCATGGCAGTTGGTTAGCATAAAAAGTACCTCTGACTGCACAGGAGCAATCAGGAGACATTCATGTGTACTCCTGCAATTATATAGCATAACCAGTGATGAAGCAAATATTTATAGGGCTTGGTAAGTATTTGGCTGGATCTGTAGACATGTATCTAAGGTACACCAAGGCAGATCAAATGGATCATTTTCTGAAAATACATGTGTCTCTGTTGCTTAAAGCTGCAACCTTGGTTAACTGGTTAAACTATTAGATTATCATATTTAGGAAACCCATAGTGACACCCTCCTGTAAGTACCACTGTGTTTCTAGTTCCAGAAGTACTTGGGAGCATTCTGTAAAATGAAATGAAAACCCATGAAATAAATAGGTGCCATGAACGGACTGGACAATTAACTCTTGCCATTAATGCCCTTAGCAGCTCTTTGACTAAGGAGAATCATACTCATCCTTGCTTCTCTACCTTCTCTTACAGGAGGCAAGAAGAATGCTTCCTGGAGGGTAGTGTTGTACTGAGATTCTAACTGTCTTATCTGCCATGTATTGCAGTGTAGAAACAAGCTTCCACAACTGCATGACAAAATACCTCTGTTTTCTGGGATGATCCTACAATAAGAGAAGCCTAACAGAACTGACTTGAAATAAACAGGACTGAATGCATTCTGTTTTCTGGGGTTTTTTTGGTTGTTTTTTTTTCTTTGTGTGTGTGTGTAATCGCTAGAATGTGATCTCAGAGACCTTCTTGCTGGTGCACATAAAGATGTAGTGGACTGTCCAGGACTGGGAGGATTTGCCAAAACAGGGGAAACAAATAGTTAAGGCTTATCTTAGAGTAGTGGTTGGTTTAAACTTAGTCTGAGAACAAAACTGCCTCCTAAGTTGCTAGAAATGTTTAGCTGTCATCTGTTGCTCATAGTATAAATGCCTGAGACACAGTCCTGCTTTAATTGTCCTTATCCAAGAAAGGCCATCCTTTGCTACTCAGAGAATGGTTCTCAAGTTCATGCAACAACATACGACCGGAGCAGGCTAGTAATAGATTGGAGTAGACTAGATATATTGGAGCAAGGTAGTGATTTACTTCTGGGTAAATGGAAACAATGGCTGGGGGAGGCAGGATGCCAGAAGGTGGTGGTGGAACTGATCACACAAAATCAAGTCAGAATATAAATTTCTTCCTCTATTCAGGCCTTTCCCATATGGAGCAGGGGACGCCCAAGCAGACATTGTCCTCTCAGTTTCACAGGAACTTCCACTAGAAATCCTTTAGCTCTCTGAGGAATACAGTCTGGGGTCTTGTGAATTGAGATCACTGCAGTAGGTCAAACCAGGCATTTCCAAATCCTCCTGATCACATGGAACTAACCTAATAAAACATTTGCTTAAATAACAAAGAACAAACAATGGGGTGGTCATGAGTAAATATGTTCCATACCACTTCCTGTTGTCACCTGTGATCTATCAACCTCAAGAGATTCAGTAATTCACTCAAAATCTTCAGGAGAGCAGGGCTGTGGACCCAGATTTATGAGACAGCATACCAGCTCTGAGTCCTTTCTTTGCATCCTAGGCCAGCAAGACATATGCAGGCATATGTCTCCAAGGCGTGGAAAGGCAAGGATGTGGCCCAAGCTAGTGAACATTCCAGACCAAGCAGCATACCTGGGCACAGATCTGCAGGCTGTTGCTCCCAGTTGCCTCTGGAGCTTCTCTAATGGTGCAGGAGGGGGATGTGCTGGGTGTGTGAGGGAAGATATTGTGCCCACACCAACTTATTCAAAGCACATTTTGCCGAGAAAGTGACACTATGGTCCATGTTCTTCCAAACAATTGCAAAAGGAAAGCCCTGCCCATCATCTCTTACTCTATTTCCTCTTCCTTCCCTCTCCCTGTATTGGGCATGACAACCCCAGAGCAGTAGGGATGTGATGGTGAGGATATCCTGTCAGGAGAGTCCATGTTACGCCCCACCGAGGTCACAGGGAGACTTCACAAAACTTTTTGCACCTCTGGTGGAGCCCCTGAAGGTCGGGTGGGGTCAGAGCACATATGTGACTCCTATCCTATTCCTGTTCAAACACCCAGCGGGTGACTTTAATAGTTTTCAGCGTCGATCTTTTGGCTACTCCCTCCTTATGTGTGTATGTAGGGAGGGAGTCATAATGGTGTTTTTTGAATTATTCAGTTTCTTGCCTTGTTTTTTTCATTTTTCATAACATTATTACTCCATTAATATTCCTGAAAGCCAAGCCAAGCCTTACTTCGATGGGCTCTCATGATTAAAGACTAAATACTGCAGAGGAGATGACAGTCCTCACATGTGCCAATGAGTCAGTGAATTCCTTTGTGAAGCCTAAGTCCAACCAGATGTCGACCTCAGCTCTGATGCTATGTTCTTTCTGTATTTTCCTCCAGTGTTGCTGCGTCTACTTAAGATGGGTATGACGTGACCATCAATGAGGAAAGACAGGCTCTCTGAAAGGGTAAAATGCTTTACTTTTTTCTACAATAGGATTATGAAGCTCTTTCCACTGCTGTAATTCTTGGCCTATTGCCTTACAAATATTATTGCTCTTTTGGTACTATTTGCATTGCACAGGTGTAAATGTCTAAAGGCAATCTAAGTATGAGACAGTCACTCTGTATGGGTCTAATTTGAATTTTCAGGCTGCTGCTACAAAGAGCTACACGGGACTATACCAGTAGGTATGTGGAACAGAAAAGCAAGGAACTATCTGTATGTGGCTGATACAAATGTCCTGTTTGTGCAGTCTAAACCTAGTATTTTCTTTAAATACAAAGGGAGGAAACAGTATTTTGCCTAGCTAGATTCTTCCAGCGCTTTTGGAATTCCTTTGCTTTTCTTCATAAACCACTTCTTAGAAACTGGAGTTTGAATTGCGCTTTTAAACAGCCACTGGGCTAGATCTTTCCTTGATGTGAATCAGGACAGCTCCATCATCTTCCACTGCAAGCTGCATTGCAGCAGGCCAGGAAGTGTACTGCTCCTGGAGGGCATGCATGATAGAAGATCAGAGGTAGTCACATAATCCTGCCTGCTGCACAGGTTTTAGTGAAGCTCCAACAGAGGAAATGAGGAGAGTGCCAAGTGAATCATGCTCTAGTCTCTTCCTTTGCCTTCTCCACCCCTCTGGGTGACAAAAGCCCCCTTTTCATGAAGCAGATTAGCAGCCCCGGATATTGTTCCAGGACTTCACTTTAACCAGACTTCTGGAGTCTGACCTTTGGAAAAATTTGCTCTGCCCTGTCCCCTCCCACATCTGGGACATTTTTTTAAAAGCGGTCCTCTGCTTTCGCATGTTGGGATTCAGCCTGGGGATGCAGAGGCTATGAATGGGGATTCCCTCATCTCAGCCTGTCCAGTTATGTCCAGAGAAATTGAGTAACTCCCTCAGGAAGTTTATTTCCAGCTGTCACAACATACCCACACCTTGCTGACCTGCCACAGCATTGTTTCCTGGTAAGATACAACTGGTCAGCTGACGAGACAGGCTTTAGCAATGGGAGCAGAGTGAGCAGAGCAGTGCAGTGCTACACCTTTGGCAATTTTTAATTTGAATCCTTGTATTCCTTTTGTACGGGGATTTGCCTGTTGTTAGTTAGGGCATTAGGCATGTAGTTACAGATGTTTAAAACCTGGTTGCCCATGCACACATGAAGCTTAGGACTTCTGGTCTGCCATCTGGCCTCCTAACCATTTTTCCAGGTCCTGATGGCTTTCTTTCCCTGCTCCAAGCATTTGCCCTTTTGTGCTTGCACCATTCCATTGCCTCCCAAAGCTTCAGAAGCAGCAGCATAGCCTGTTTTGGGCATGCAGCTTTCTGGTCTTGGAGGTGGCTTTGGCCCCTTCCCCAGATTGACCCAGATACAGCCTTTTAAACAGGGAAAAGGTAGAAGTGCCAAGGGCAGGAACAGCTGGAAAATCAATGGCAAGTGTGAGCTAGATTCCAAACCAGGATTCAAGTATCTAGAGTCTCTGTGCAGATCCCCTTCTGCTTTCTTGTACTGAACTCATTGCAGCTGTCAATAGGCTGGAGTACTGGTGACCTGAAATCTATGATACAGGTAACACAAACTGGCATCTCTCCCTTTAGTTTCCTCTATAAAACTCTATTTCTATTTCTACTCTTCTCTCCCTCTCTCTCCTTTTCTTTTTATTTTTTTTTTTTGTTTCATGATCTCTGCCAAAAATACACTGATTTACTCTTAACAGCTATATCTAAATTTACAGTCAAATTTTCAAACAGAGTCACTTCCTGCTATTTTGCTTGCCTCCTAAGTCAGAACAGTATATTTCTGCATGCTGCCAGACATGGGCATTTCTTACTTAGAGATGAAACCATTATAAACCAGAGCCAGTATTCATTTCAAAGGCCAAATCTTTCAGTTCTAACTCAGGATTTTAACTGTAATGATCCAGACATGTATTTTCTCATGACGTGTACATTACAGCTCTCATGATGCTCTTGACTGCATTTCAGAGATGCAGAAAGAGTGACAGAGACTACTATGCAGTGCTTTTCAGAGGTGCTGCTGAGGTGAATTTCAATTATTTATTTATGAATTTAGCTTTCACTGAGCTGCTCTAAGAGCTGGTAACAATTTTCATTATGTGCTAGCTAGCTGTAAAGCATCCTGCAAAGTGGATCTGCTCTGTCTCATGGCAGAAAGTAGCACAGGTATGAAAGGAACTTCAAACACATAGAAAAAGGGCACACAAATAGACTTCGTACCTCCTTCTCAACATCCCACCGTGACAGCATTGGTTTGAGAATCAGCAGCTTCTATGCATTAAGCCAGCCCTGCCTGGCTTAGCAATTCATGGATGCAAGGCACGAGGGAAGGTTTCTTCTTCCAGCCAACTCTCTGGCTGTTTATTTTCAGTCTCAGAGGCCCATATCGCATCTGGAGCTTGTCCAGTCCTGGGTTTTGGTTTTGGATTCACAGTGTGTGTGTCTAAGGAGGGTTATTTTACCATCCCAAATTTCCAGTAGTGGACTGTGGCATTCAAAATTTAAACAAACAAACAAAGAAACAAAATTCTCATCCTTCCTGTAAATGGTCATCTCCTCTTAGGGGTACAAGAAAAAAAAAAAGATACAAAAACTTTAGTATTAATATAGGAAAAAAATCCTCTGGGACAGGCATTACAGCAGCAGGTGAGTGTGAAGTAAATGCAGCCTTGCAGACACATATAGTAAGATGCTGAGTTCCTCATTCAGTGAGAGCTCTGAAATCCTCTGGAACAGCAAGCTCCGGTTTCCTCATTGGAAGAAAATACATTAGGGAACACTCACTATTTACAGCATGCAGTGCAAGTGCCAGGTCAAACTGTGGCATCCTGTGTAATCCCTGCTGAAAAACAAAGCAAAGAACTACCTAGAGGACCTTCAAGGCACTGGATAAGAGGCATCCTCTCAAGCAAAGGCCTGCCAAGGTTGAGGGAAGGCCCCAAATCCATGCTAGGTGATAAGACAGTAAAGAAGAAAATAGCTTTCTCTAGAGGTCCTTCTGAAGCAAGGATAAAGGGATGGGTCAGGATGTGGGAGAAACCCAGCCTGGCTCTACTCTTTCCTCAAGTAAAGGAAGAACTGGCCTCCCATCATGTTTTACTTAGGCTGTTTTCTGAAGGCTTCCAA